TTCAATTTTTCAAATTTTTGATATTGTGTTTTCTCGGTTTTTAAATTTTTCGATACTTTAATTTTTCAGTTTTTAATGTTTTAAGTTTTTAGATTTCTCACTATCTCGACTTTTCGATTTTTCAGTTCCATGATTTTTCAATTTGTCGAATTTTTAAATTTTAGATTTTTTGTTCTCAATCATTCAATTATCTGAGTTTTCAGGCTTAGATTTTTTTTGTTGCTCAATTCTTGAATTTTTAAAATATTTTGTTTTTTAAATTTTTCTATTTATCAACTTACTGGGATTTCAATGTTTTGATTATTTGATTGTTCAATTTCTCGATTTTTTGAATTTTTAGTTTTTGTTACGATTTTTTTTTTCAAAATTTTCAGTTTTTCAATTTATTAACTTTACGATATTTCAGTTTTACGATTTTTAATTTTTTTTATTTTTCACTTTTCAATTTTTGACGTTTCTAAATTTTTCGATTTTTCAATTTTTCGATTAACTGAATTGTGTAATTAGAAACCTGAGGTTTGGAATCTACTCACTCGCCGTCATTGTTATGAAGTGGAATACTCATTAAAGATGAACGATGCTCAGTAATTACTAGAAATACTCTTCAAAACATTTGTTTCCGTAACTCCTGTAAAGTGAAACGAAAGAGCTTGGAAATTTAATACATGAGTTCGCATGATAAACAGCACCACATTTAGACTATAACTTTTGATCTCAACCTGAATGACGAGCAATATTTACGTATTCTGCGATAAATAGATGAACACTATTTAGATAACTGACCTTTGAATCACGTCCAAAACTTGTATTTTCAACAAGATAGGGCACCACCCCACAACGTGAGAACCGTGGATGTTTTTTGAATTGCATTGATTATTTCCTTTGGAGTAAAAAATAAGTTACTTTAATGAACGGGAAGACAAAATTGTGCTCTTGTTGTATTCGAGTTTTCGTCGATCAAGATTTTTTTTTAATTAAATTTAATGAACTATGAGAATGAAAACATGGCTGTTAATTTTTCATAAAAAAGTAGTAATTTTTCATATATTTTACTGAATAATTTTTTATTAGTAATTTTAGACTACTGATGGTTGCTTATAATTTGTTGTGGTAAAAAATGTAAATGATTAATTTATTAAAAAGTATACTGGGTTAATGTCATTTCCGGTGTTAACGGAAGTGAGAATTAAAAACATTAAACATTCTTTTTAAGCTTTACAATTCCTGAAATTTTGAGTGTTTTTATTATTCAGGGAAATTTCCAAATTTTACTTACAGACATCTGTAGTAAATTTACTCTGGAGTAGATGTTTTTGAAAAATTAAAATCGGATAATAGATACACTCTAAAACTCATGCCGAATAAACAGATTCGGAAGTATTTTTCAAGCTGAGTAATTTTCTGGTTTACTGGGATGAGAGCAGGTATACGCCTAAAGAGCTTAACGCCATCACTCATAGATAAACGGATTAAAGTGAAGAGGCCAATTATGTTATGATTCAGGAGAATTTTTTACTAGAAATTATTTAGCTAATTTTCACAAATTCAGATTTTATTTTCTTATTACCTTTGGTTTACACAGTGATTGGTCATAGGATCCTAATATTTGTAGCAATATACAAGTGATTACAGTTTGTGGTCATTTTATCATTTTGAAAATTTATTTGTTCATTAGAATACTGCGTCTATATAAGCAGGTACGTTTGTATGTTTGTGTTGTTTGTTAAACCTATACAGTAGAAATTCAAAAATCATAAAAAGTTGTAACAAGATCTTTTTCTATAAATCTTTTATGTTCATTGCTAACTTAGGGACAAGATTTTATGATTCACAGGTTACATCTTTCAAGTAAAATAGAAATAGATTTTGTATTTTGGAAATACAAGTTTTTACATAAAAATTTTAAAAAGATTTCTTGTTTGAAAGTCGTCATTGTCATTTACTTCAACAGGAACTCCATAGTTGGTGAAAAAAACTTTTTTAATTTCAATCGCCACACTCGTATTATACTTTAAAATACATTAGTTGGTAAAAAATCTAGCATAATCAAAACTTTATGTTCATATATAGCTGTAGAAAAACTTTCAAAAAATTTTCACTCTTCGAAAAAATAAATAAGGCGCCATTCAAAAACATGTCAATGACAATATAATTTAAAACAAAAGACGATCAACATGCAATTTTTATGTAGCGCTTTACATGTTGAAAATATCTAGAAAATGGTACTTAAAAAATTTAAATATACCTACATACTTATCAAAATTAAATGCAAACAATTTTACCATCATGTTTTTTTTAAGCAAAATGCCTCGTTTTACCATACAATGGACAAAATGGGTAAATCATATATTAATAAGGAACATGTATATTATTACCAAATGCAAGGCCACTTGCACATAACAAAAGGAAAGGTTGTATTTTTGCCATTTGTACACTCAAAGGGGGTATAATCACATACGTTCCATATGACGAAGAATTTTGTAAAATAAATGGTTCCGAAACCCCAAAAATTTTATTATGGATGCGTTCTTCCGGAACTTGTTGATCCTACGAGAGGTAGGGGATTATCTATTCGAAATCCTGATTATATTTTAAAAAGACACAGAGAAAAAAAGTCACTAAAAGTTAAAAAACAACTTAAATTTTAAGTTTAATAAAACTGTTGGTTATTTTTTTGTTGTATTAATTCGTTTTTATTAATTTTATAAATTTGACATGTTCTCTGTTTTTCGGAAAGTTTAGTCGAAATCAGCTTCGAGCAATTTTTTTATAATATATTTATCTGTCTATCTATAAGCCTGTCTGTTAAATTTCAAATGTATGTCTCCCCTTCATTTTTCTATGCTATTTTTATTTTTTTATTACTATAAATTATACTCTTATTACATACTATTTATGTATAGATTATTTGCTCGTTTTGAAAATATTTAATATAATAAATCTATCACCTCTAAAATGCTACTTTCATTTCATTGTCTGTTATTCTGCTGGTTTATATTGATCAATATGTTGCCTTTCTTAACACGAAAAAAATCGTGGAGATTATTTAGTTAATTGTAAAATTTACCTAAACATAAAAATAAACGTACTTAACCTACAACAACCAGACGACGGACGACGGTCCTCAGGTAATTTATTCAGATACGGGCTTAGTACAGTCGCCCATCTAAGTAGAGATTTTCCGTGCTAATAATAATTTGCACCGATAAAATATTTTACTTCAGCTCCCCCTTGTAAGTATTTCCTTTGCATACATGTTTCGATCGTTTATGTTAATATTTCCAAAAAAATCGACTATTAGCACGTTACGATAACAATCATCTCCGTTAAAACAAAATGAAATTTGATTGATTTGGTCTACTCAAAAGAGAAAAGAGGTCGGATTTAATTAATTAGCTGTAATGGAGTAAAACGGGTCGAATATAATTTTCGACGATCTCTCATTATGGAAATTATTAGTTTATTATGATTAAATAAAAAGTTTCAACACGGTTGGATGAAGAAGAGGAGTCCAATAAAATGGCCAGCAAGATAATCCGATTTGAACATCATTAAATATTTCTTTTGGGATAAAAGATATGTTACTTTGATCAACGGAGAGACAAAATTTTGCTCTTGTTGTATTCGAGTTTTCGTCGATCAAGATTTTTTTTTAATTAAATTTAATGAACTATGAGAATGAAAACGTGATTGTTAATTTTTGATATATTTTAATGTACAACTTTTTTATTAGTAATTTTAGATTATTGGTTGCTTATAATTTTTTGTAATAAAACATGTACCAAAATGATTCATTTATTAAAAATATACTGGATTAATGTCATTTCCGGTGCTACAGGAAGTGAGAATTTGAAAATGCGTTTACCATCAATTATTATTATTATTATTTTATTATATATTAATTCTAATTCGGATTTATCTTCACAAATAAAAAAGTTAGAGGAGTGAGTGAATGAGAAAAAACACATCAACTTGTACATATGTGCTCTTGTCATAAGGATGAAACTGAACACGGCGTTTTGTCTTATTTTGCCATATTTTATTTTGTGGACGGAGAAACCTGAAATCACCAGTTTCGCTAATAACAATTTTGCACGTGGGTCTACCTTTGAAAGATTCCCAGGTAGCAGATTTAAGTCGTTTCTTTGTAAGGAGCCCGCATGGAATTTTCTGGAATTTCTAATCTTTTGGCGACACTCATTCTGCTAATAACTTCATAACGTCACTTTTACGGCCCCATTGCCTCATGCTGAGGGAGAAAAGACTCTTCGTCGAAATTATCCGTTGTAATGTTTATTTTATTTATGGTGCCTTTAACTCTAAACGAAATCATTAAACTCTCTTAAATCTTTTCCTTCATTATAGTACTTAGATAACAGTTCCAAAACAAAAATTTTCATAAATTCCATATTTGTGTTTGTTATTCATTATCACTATATGTTGGAGAAATTTTACCCTCGAAATTAATTCAAGCGTTTGTTGGAAGATATTTTCTTTTAAAGGTTCATCTGCTGTTAAAACAATGTTGTGTAGTAGATAAAACGCCAACCAGAATTCGTTGCTCTTTTGCACTAAAAATGTGATGACATCAGGGCAAGAGATTTGCTAAGTAAATGTAGTTCGAAATGTATACAAATTAAATTTATAAAAGCAAGATAATAACATTGATGATTGAAAAACAACAATTAGAATTTATTTATTCTTCCCGTCTACAGAGTTAACGACGTCGTTTAAATAACATATTTTGTGTCAGGATACATAAAATTGTCTCCGTTAAAAAGTTGATAATCCATTTTCCCGTAAGACATACTGCTAAAACTCGTTAGATTCAGTTTTTAATTTTTTACAACCAACAATTTTCTGTTTTCTAGAATAGAAATGTCCTCCCCACTACCACCTTGTGAGGGTACAAGCTCCACCACCATTTTCCACCCCACTCTTTCGATTCGATAGCGGTAGGTCGTTAGGTATACATCAGTACTGTTTTTGCCTGTTCTTGTCGAGAGCTCAACCAGGACGGGAGCTGTTCTGGTTGAGCTCTCAAAAAATTCATCCATCAAATACCTGAGGTAAGACTAAACTGCATTAATATGTTTTGCGGGTGTCAAAGTAATCGCTTTCGGTGATAAAAATTTTTTTTCCAATTTTTAAAACGTCTTTCTAAAGTTTGGCAAATATCACTTGTTTGGCTTTCATTGGAGGTTCAAAAATAATGAATATTATAAATATTTGTAAGCTTTGTTGATTATTTTTATTTTTCACCTCAAACATACTATCTTTAAGATTTTTATTTACTATTATTATGGTAGAATTCCTTTAATTTTGGCAAGATGTTGTAAAGCGGTATGTTTCTCTTTCTGTCTTAGTACGATACAGTTACGCGGGCATTCTTTGCCTGTTTAAATACAGTCTATCAGAGGAAGACAGAAACAGAGACATACCAGAGGTTGCAAATGGTACAGTTTTACAACACCTTGCCAAACTTCAAAACCCCATGCGATAATTATAATTTTTTTGTTTAGAACCTTACTACAACTCCTCGGGGATATCAACTATTTTATCTCATCCAGCACGTTTTTCATCTGAGGATAAATATTCAACGCTAAGAATCAGAATTAAGAAACGGTTTGGACCATTATCGACGCAACATGATATTACAAATTCTCGCTTCAATGAAAGATTATTTTGGAGTTGGACTGATCCGAGACCTTCAAATACCTGAGGTAAGACTAAACCGCATTAATGTATTGAAAAGTCTACTCAGGATCCAGCATTCAATCCACATGATTACTAAAAATTCATTGCAACATTGTTAATATACATTTTGCAGGAAGCCGTCGCCGCGCCGCCGGCCAAATCTAGGAGCCGCAAATGTGGCCCCACCACGACCACGTGCTAACGCATTCCGTATTCACCAACGGGGATTTTTTGGAGTTCGGGAAACAGGAGCATCTCGCCCCAAAACCTCCAAAGGCCATGTGGCGAGGGCACCGCCAGCGAGGACCCCCTTCGAGTGGATGAGTAGACGAGTTATCAGAGTCAGTGCAACCCTAGGAAAACAGGAACGAAGGACAAATACCGAATAGTTTATTCGGACCTCCAAAGGATCGAATTAGAAAAAGAATCCACTTTATTTAATTGTTACATAACAATAAAACAAAAATCGGGACTCGCTGCTACTCTGGGTTTATCAGAGCGCCAAGTTAAAACCTAGTTTCAAAACAGACGAGCGAAAGGGCGGAAACAAGCAAAAAGAAGTGCATTGGAGAGAAAAGCCAAATGGACAGCTTTTACCAGCAGAACCTCTTACAGCAGCAGCAAAATAAATAATAAAAAGTAGTAAAAAATAAAAAATAAATAAAAAATAATAAATAATAAAAAATAATAACAAATCATAAATAATAACAAATCATAAATAATAACAAATCATAAATAATAACAAATCATAAATAATAACAAATCAAAAATAATAACAAATCATAAATAATGAAAAATAAATAAATAATTAAAAAGTTTTATGTAATAATAATTGTTTTATTCTTTCTGCTTGCCCACCCCTTGCCTTCTTAGTTCTTCTTCCGTACCTCTTTCATCCAGTCCAGTCCGGTGCTCTTCCATCCTCGTTTAGTACTTCTCCCTACTTTCTTCCGATTCTCTCAATCCTTCACATCCTCCAGCATATGTTCTATTGTTTCTCCCTCTCTCCAACATATCCTACACTTTCTGTCCGTTTCATCCATCCAAAAATTATTCTCTTTCTCCTCATTTCCACACCTATATCTCGCTATCATTCTTTCCTCTTTTAGACTTTCTCTCTGTGTGTGTCCTTTGGTACTTGGTCCTTTACTATTTTTCTATACTCTGCATTATATCTAGACTCCGATATTCTCGATTTGCGTTCTTGCTTATGTATATCCTAGTCCGGTCAAAATAGACATAAAAATAATGATCAAATAACAAAAACTCCGACAGAGCTGAATTTTGGTACAGACCTTGGGTACACCAGTAGAAATAAATTGTCAAAAGTCCCCATAGATCCCATGTGTGTTAAAAAAGTTATTCAAGGTCAAAAGTCATTTTTTTGGTTTTTTCGATTTTTCTCGAAAACGGTAAGTTTTATCAAAAATATAGCTCAGACAAAAATTATAGAGCTTAAAATTATCTACAAAACTGGTTCATGTACTTTTTTCCCTAAGAATGACCATTCCTAAGATATCGCCGTTCTAAAAGTTGAAGGAGTTACATTCTACATGATATGCACACATTTCCACAACAGGTGTGATGTAGTGTACTTGGCGCTTTTTTTTTAACGTGGTTTCCGCTGTAGGCCTACGATGGAGTTTTATGGGAAAATGCTGTAATTACTGCATGATGAGTATTGATTTTGATATTGATATAGTTGATTGATTTAAACTATGTTTCCAATTTCTGTTAACATTTTAATCTGATTCATACTCTTCAAATTCGACTTCATCAGTCACGTGTTCTTCAATTTCTTCTTCTTCTTCCTCTTCTTGTTGGATGTTCAGAAATTTTTCAACTGAAGACGAATCAGTTGTCTCTTCATCGATATCACATGAATCTTCGTCTGTTGGATTCCATTGAACATTCGAGCAAGAGTGACCTTGGCAATTAGTGCACGCTGTTGAACACAACAACCCTACTCTTCTACAGCCACACTTAGTACAACAATTTTTTTTACAATTGCAAAAAATAGTGTTTAGGAGTTTTTTCGGAGCAGGTGGGAGTGTAGTTTGAATCGGTTCCAAAGTATTATCTGTTAATTTCCAACCTCAGTCTTCGGGGTTCAGTTGATAGCCTAGCCATGTCTGAACTTGATAATATACCTACTCGATACAAGTGTTGATGAGCAGAAGCCATGTTGGAGGAAGACAAGATAGTTGTACTTGTTTCTTGTTTCGTTTTTTTTTTAAGTGGTACTTGTCGAAACAATTAATTTTTTTGGAGCTCCATAAACCGTAAGGAGAAAGAGAATTCCTTTTGTGATTATCGTTTGAGGAGACGCGTCAATTTCTTCAAATATTTTAGCGCAATGAGTTAAGTCCTTTCAAGTAATTTCAATACTCACGTTTTACCCCTTCTGAACAGTGCTGATGTAGTATCGCAGCCGGTTATTACATGTAAAAATAAAATATGGTTTTTGCATTTTGGATAAAAAGATAAACTGCTTGAAGAATATGTTTCTGCTCGCTGTTGAGCCTTTCCAGATTTTAAAAATTAAATGATTTTATCAATCTATACTAGAAGGGGCTGACTAAGGGATTGAGTTTCTTTTGAGTGTATATTCTCAGAATTGTTAGTAGTTATTTATTATTTTGTTCGTTGTTATTTTATACATGTAAGAGACACGAATGGCATTTTTAGTTATATTAAGGGTCTGACTATAGATATACGTGGAATTTGTGTGCATATCATGTAGAATGCAACTCCTTCGACTTTTAGAACGGCGATATCTTGGGAATGGAGATACTTAGGCAAAAAAGTATAAGGGCCATTTTTGTAGATAATTTTATGGTCTACAATTTTTGTCTGAACTGTATTTTTGATAAAACTTATCGTTTTCGAGAAAAATCCAAAAAACCAAAAATGTTGACATTTGACCTTGAATAACTTTCTTAGCACACATGGAATCTATGGGAACTTTTGCCACTTTATTTCTACTGGTGTACCCAAGGTCTCTACCAAAATTCAGCTCTGCCGGAGTTTTTGTTATTTGAAATGTCTATTTTGACCGGACTAATCCTTATCTCTTACACTCAGTTCTTCTTTCATACTCTTTCCCATTTCTCTCATTCTCTCTATTTCTTCACATGAATATCCCTTTTCTTCATAGTACTTGTCTCTTACATTCCAAACCTGTTTTCCCCCTTCCTTTCTTATTTGTTTCTAACATTCTTGCAATATTTTACAATCACCTCTCGCACTGAACTTCTCTTCAAATCCAACCGCCCTTTTAACCGCTTCCACTCTTATTTTCTCCCCTTTTGTTTCTTCTCTCACTATATACCCCGGCGGGATATTGGGATTTCCAATCCCAATGTCCAGTTTAAGTATTTTTCTTGCACTCTCTCTATTTCTTCATATTCCCTCCATCCCCAAATCTCAGCTCCCTTCATAAATACACTCTTGATCAAACTATCAAACATCATCATTCTTCCCTTATAATCACGTCCAAATTTTCTCTCTCCTATTCCCCATATTATTCCTATCACTTTGTTCGCTTTTCGGACCATTTCTTGAATATTCGATCTATCTGAGTTATTGTATGTATATTCTGCGGTATTTAGTGGGAAGAGAAATTAGGAAAGAGGGAGGGCGAATGTACGCATTGTTCATATATTTCAAAGCAGCGTTTGATAGCGTGGATAGAAAGAAAATGTGAGAGTATTTGAGGAGAAAGGGAGTAGATGCGTATCTGGTAACGAGAATGGAAAAATATGTGAAGAAACAGTAAGAGTGGGGTGGAAAATGGTGGTGGAGCTTGTATGTATACACATTGTCCATAATACCTCTTCCTTTCCTAAACCCTGCCTGATCGTCTGGTAGAGTTCCCTCAAACATATAAGGCGTTTATGACTTCACACCAATTTGACTCCCATTATAATTCAATAGGCCGTCACAACCGGATGTCTTAAACCCGCTCACCGATACCTACCTGAAAAGACCTTTTCTGGTAAAAGCACAGGGCAAGACTGAGTTTTGCATTTACCGACAACTGCGCCTTTCGATTTTTTTATTTTAAGTAAAAACAAAGTAACTTTGTACTCAATCATTTTTTATTACAGCAAATTAGTTAGAATTTTGACATACCAAACTATTTACTTATTAACTACTACTGCTTATTTATTGATCGAAATAGTCACTGTCATCATCACTGGACTCTTCTAAATTAACAATTAGCGGTTTTATCAACCGTGCCCTGTACTGGTCTTTTCCTGAATTTATTCTTCAAGAAGGCACTGTATTTTGTAGCTTCTGCTACAAACCGCATTTCTATTTACAAATATATGTTTTCGGATCATCGGCCAAATTTTTTGCTACAATATTTCGAAAAGTATTTAAAATAAATTGCTACAAAAATACTAATTAAATGGCCTATTATTATTAATTTTTATTTATTTGTCACTATTTAGTGTAAGACAATAATTTTAAAAAATTTTATTTACCTATGTATTTTTTATTAAAAAAATTAAGCTTGATAAACCTGTTTTAAAATTTGTAAATAAATTTAGTTGTGTTATTACACTTCTTTTCAATTTTTGGAGGATATGCAACTGCATATCTCTGCATATATTAATAAAGTTACAGCATATTTGCATAAATTTCATGCATATTACATGATCGTATTTCTCAAAATTTTGCTGCATACTTTTCGCTCTTTAGTCATGTATTATGTTTAATATAACAGCAATATGAATGTACCCTCTGGATTTGAAACAAAGCACGGTGACATCGTCAAAATTATTTGATTTATCAAAAAACTTAGTGGACCAGTTTTCTATAATTCCGATCGTACTTATTAAAAATTTTATGTTTTTTGCTTTCAGTATCTTAATAATATTTTCAAATGTGCAGAATAATGATTAAATAATTAAGGTACGGAAGAAACCCTAAAAACAAAATTACTCTTAGTCCGGTCTTTCGCGTCACTGCCGTCCCTGGCACGTGGCATGGTTTACATTTACTAACGCATTATAGGTTTGAGGAAACTATACTAGAAACTTCGAAGACACAGACTCGAGGTAATAAAATTTACTTAGTCAGAATCCAAAAAGCTTGGGTGGGTAGCAAGCAGGCAATGTTGTAAATTTTTCCAAATATTATTATGATCGCCAGGGCTGGACGGTGAATATTACTGACAGTTGTTCCGAGTTCAAGAATTTTACCGTTGCTTTTAAGTATTTTCTTTGTAAGGAACCTGCATAAAATTTTATGGAATTTCTAATCCTTTGGTGACAACCAAACTACTTAGGCCAGCTGTCGACAACCAGCGGCCCGCGAACCTCCTCCTTACGGCCCACCACAGGTTAGTCAATGAAGATCATATATAACATTCCGAATTGTTTTAATTTCGCCTCAAAACTAAAATCTGTGACATCCGCGAAACCTACCAACTTAATTGTCACTGAAAATACGATTCTAAAAAATTGTTGAAATGTTTGATTTATGTGATTACCAAATTTTCAAAAATAGCTTCCCCTGGTCAACTTTTAGAGACTGAGATTGACTATTGTTTCTCATCCATTTAGTTTTGTTTTTCTGTTTGGTCACACTAGATAGAAGCTTCAATCAGATTATAAGCACTAAATGTTACTATTATTTAAACTTTCAATAGCTAATACGTAGTTTCATCTCTGATTTTTCTGTCAAATTTACCTCGTTCTTGACACTGTCAAGTACGTACGTTTTTTTCCCTTTTCGACTTTTATTTTTTAAGATTTTAATATTTTTGTAGTTTTACTGCTTTAGTACTTGGTGATTACCCTAGACCCATATCTTGTTGCACTTTCGTTTTTATTTTTTATTTTTTGTTCCAGAAAATTGAGAACATCCAGTTTCAGTTCTTAATTTTCTTTTTTACATGGCAACTATTTTTAATAAAAATTAAATAATCGATTTGTTTTAAAAAACCGACAACCGATTCGTAATTTTGAAGATGCCATATCCGATTTTTTGAAGGACATGTTTATAACAGTACTACGTTGGCAATTTATTTAAGCCCATGAGGCAAAATAAAAACAATTTTATATTCTGTCACTAAAATATATTTTAAAATTATAGACGTACAGAAGTATGTTTTTCCTCCACAATAAAATCAAAACTTAAAAATTAACATACGTTAGAAGCCATCCATAGAATTATTCTCCCTTAATCAAAAATTTCAGAAACTGGCACTTTCTCCAAAAACCTATCAAAATCATTTGTAATTAATTGATTAAAAACCTCCTCGTAACTGCTTTCGACATCGTCCCAAAGTGCCTTCCAGTTCTCATTAAAAACGTCATTGAGGTGCTTCCCTAGCGCTTCATCTTCACCAAACAAATTATCTAACTGAAAATGGATTAATTGTGGTCCCGCAACAAGTGTGCTCTTTTTAATTTTATAATATTTCTCTCCACTCTTGTCATACTCATCCAAATTAAACGTAAATACGAAGTTCACATCGTCTTCAAAAATAACAATCATACAAGTTCTCTTCGTCAAAACCTCTTACCAAGTGTAATAACAGCGGAACCTTTTCCATTAAAGGGAATAACCATAATTCTCCCTTTAAAATCGTATTCAGCCTCCACTCGAATATTTGAAACACTGCACTCAAAAGTGATTGTTTTCTTATCAAAGTCAAAGCTAAAACCACGTTAATACTAAAACTTTTACAAAATAAACACATACTCAAATTTTGAGAATTTCGCTTTGCTAAAACCGTAAATTTTCACATTTTTGTAAATTTGGGTAAACTGGGCTGCTCCTGTTCCCGGCGAGACGTTAATAGAAGAGACTTCCAGAGGTTCTAAACTAATCAAACCCACAGCCATCATTGGGTGATTCAGCTGATGCACAGCATTTTCAACAGCTTTCAACAAACACTGATTAAAGTCGCTTTTGTTTCTGGTGCATTTTTGGAAAGTGGAGGCTAAAATTGCTATTCGAATAAAGGAAACTCAAAAAATTTTAACTTACGCATTTTAACACAGTCCGAAACCACGAAAAGGGCACAAAGTATTGCTAAAGACTTCATTTTTATACAAGACTGTTTTTGACTTGGAATAAGTTCAGCTAAACCTGCTCTGGATAGAATAGTCTTCGAGGTCCCTTTTTACTGGTGAGTTAATTTGATGACAAGCATGTTTTATAATTTCTACTGGTTGTATATAATGTATTTAATATTAAAAAAAACATGAAAATAAGACTTCTACGCTTTGTATCAAAGCCGACATCGTTTAAAAATAATTACAACACAAAGTACAAAAAACTCGTTTCAGAAATTTTCCAGGTAGGTTTTTCTTTATAAAATCATTTCCCGGTGTCAGTACAAGTGGGTTTCAAATATGCATTCGTTGGTAACAACTTTTTGTGTCCTTATTGCTTGTTGCGTGTGCTACAATGTCGTCGGTACGCCTATGTCTTTAGTACGCCTATGTCGTCGGTGTGTCAAAGAAATGTTGCAGCTGCAGGTCTGCAGCCACCCCTTTGACCCGGTTGACCCGTAAAAAATCATTGGGTTTCGATTCGGGGGCGACTTCTTATGTTACACCGACACAGTTAGTTTTTAAGTCAGTCGCTATTAAGTTTTGTCCGGAACATCTAGCACACGGGTGCTCTGATGTAATAATCAATTTTCAATAAACCTGTGTGCCATACACAATTTTTTATAATCTCCCCTCACCGCTACACACCATTGCTATTTCTGGTTGTGTAAAACTGCGTAAGTTTATTTTTTAATGTTACCACAAGCTAAAGACCAGTTTTAACCTCTTCTTTCCAAAAATGCGATAGGAATAAAAGCGACTTCAACCCGTGCATCGCAAAAGCGGTAGAAAATGCTATAAGTCAACTGAATCACGCAATACCGTCAGTTGGTTTGATTGGTTTGGAACCTCTGGAAATTCCCTTCATGTCCATAGCACCAGGAGGTGGCCCAGCAAGTTTTAGCCACAATTACACCAACCTGAAACTATCCGGACTCACTCAAGGAAAAGTATCGAAATTTGAGTATGTCTTAGTTTTGCGAATCGTGGAAATTTATAATTATTATCCCTGTTTATAGTGTTGATTTTGATAAGAAAAATATATGTTTTGTCTTTACGGTACCTCATTTGAGACTAGACTTTATGTATGATGCCACAGGCAAGATTTTGGTTTTGCCTATCGACGGGCACGGACCTGGTGTTATAGATCTTAGTAAGGCTATTTTTTATATAATCATTTTACTTCTCTTTTTTTAAGGTGACTTGTTACTCAGCTTCACGTTCGATTTGGAAGAATACGAGAAAAATGGCAAAAAATATTATAAAATTATCGGAAGTCGACTGACTTTGGAACCAAAGTTGATTCACTATAAACTCGATAATCTATTCAACGGGGACGAGAGGTTGGGGAAGCAGATCAACGACGTGTATTTTAGTGTGTGGAAGGGGAAGCCTTAACTCACCAGTTTCGCTAATAACAATTTTGCACGTGGGTCTACCTTTGAAAGATTCCCAAGTGGCAGACCTAAGTCTTTTCTTTGTAAGGAGCCCGCATACAATTTTCCGGAATTACTAATCCTTTGCCTCAGGCTGAAGGAGAAACGATTTCTCTTCGAAACTATCTATGGTATATATTTTATTTGTGGTATGTTTAACTATAAACAAAATAATTACCCCCTCTTAAATCTTTTCCCTAATTATAATTGGTAACCGTTTCAAAACAAAAATTTTTCATAAAGTCGATATTTGGGTTTGTTATTCATTATCATTATGTGTTGGAGAAATTTTTCCCTCGAACTACTGACAAGCATTTATTGGAAAATATTTTCGTTTAAAGGTCCATCTGCTGTTAAAACAATGCTATGTAGTAGGTAAAACGCCAACCAGAATTCGTTTGCTCTTTTGCATTAAAAATGTGATGACATCAGGGCAAGAAATTTGCTAAGTAAATGTAGTTCGAAATGTATACAAATTAAATTTATAACAGCAAGATAGTAACATTGACGATTGATAAACAACAATTAGAATTTATTTATTCTTCACGTCCACAGAGTTAATGACGTCGTCTCAGTATTTATAAAACAAATAACATATTTTGTGTCAGGATACATACAATTGTCCCCGTTAAAAAGTCGATAATCCATTTTCCCGTAAGACATACTGTTAAAACTCGTTAGATTCAGTTTTTAATTTTTCTCTACCAAACAATTTTCTGTTTTCTAGAAATGTCTCCCCACAACCACCTTGTGAGGGTACAAGCTCCACCACCATTTTCCACCCCACTCTTTCGGTTCGATAGCGGTAGGTCGTTAGGTACACATCAGTACTGTTTCTGCCTGTTCTTGTCGAGAGCTCAACCAGGACGGGAGTTGTTCTGGTTGAGCTCTCAACAAATTAAAGACTCCAAACTCCAAGACGGTAAGGAATTTTGTTTCTTTTTTCTAATAAATTAGAACTACATTTGTATGTGATATTTACCTACAGCTGCTAGCTAACCCGCACTCCTGGCACGGTTACCATCAGGGCGCCGAACAGCAAATGTAGGAGCCGCAAATGTGGCCCCACCACGACCACGTGCCAACGCATTCCGTATTCAACAACGGGGAGTTTTTGGAGTTCGGGAAACGGAAGCACCTCGCCCCAAAATCTCCAAGCGCGCGTGGCGCCGCCACCGCCAGCGAGGACCCTCTTCGAGTGGATGAAGTAGACGAGTTATCAGAGTCAGCCCAACCCTAGGAAAACAAGAACGAAGGACAAATACCGAGTAGTTTATTCGGACCTCCAAAGGAACGCATTAGATAATCGTTACATAACAAGAAAAATGGGGACTCGCTGCTACTCTGGGTTTATCAGAGCGCCAAGTTAAAATCCAGTTTCAAAACAGACGTGCGAAAGGGCGGAAACAAGCAAAAAGAAGTGCATTGGAGACGAAAGCAAAATGGACAGCTTTTACCAGCAGAACCTCTTACAGCAGCAGCAACGACAATAACAACCAGGTCAGGGAGCAACAAAAATAAATAATGAACAAATGAAAAATAATGAACACGATAAATAATAAATGAATTAATAAAATAGATATTCGAGTTTTATCTAATAATTAAAGTGCGGAATTTATGCCGAATGCATATTGCATGCATATTTCATCATTTTTTCTAATTCTTGCATATTTCGGAGAAATCGTGCATATCAGTGCAGGTTTTGTTCCCTTTTCACTTTCCCATGATATTTTTTAGAACGTGCTCGGTTCAATACAACACAACGGATAGGTTTGACAACTTCCGGCCGAAATTTTCAAGCTGGACGGCGACGGTCACAAATACCGTTACTTCTTAGAACTCATAAAGTCGTAAAAATATAAATTTTGAGATTGTTATGGATGAATAATGATTTTAAAATTTATGGGAAGGGGCTGCGGGTGTTCGAAACGACTGAGGCATGGAGAAGTAAAAATGCCGAAAGAAAAAAGTTCGCTTGTTTCTGGATGGATTAAAAATTATCCAGAGCTGGTTTATGAAAACGAAAAGATTTTTACTTCCCGAGCGTAAGCAAAGGAAGTATTGTATAAGTATAGTCTAATCGAGTCCGTCGGCCGACTCTCTACTTTTACGTTTTCTCGATCTTTCATGACCTCTAGAAGACGAAGAAATAAGTCCCCCATTTCCGTCTGTCTGCCGTCCCGGCTTTTTATTAGACAGATAATGTCCGAAAGTACCGGACCGATTGTTGTGAAATTTTGTACTTATATTAGGAATATCATGTAGATGGTAAAACGTTAACCAAAATTTGTCTAATCATCCCCACCACTAATGCGATGACGTCACTTCAAAATTGTACATAGTAAATGGGTCTTAAATTGTATAAAATAACATAGTCCTACACATGTAGTTTACGACCCCCAATTGAGTTTTTATCCGAAACGTCCAGATTTTTGGAAAAAAAAAAATTATAAAACAACATTTTGCAATTTAATTTTGAATCTGCTAACCCGAATGTTTTGAAATGTTGCAGATGTTTTAAAGCTATAAAGAGCATCATAAATTTTTAGTCAAAATATATTTGGTTATCCCCTCCAAAAACTTGATGACGTCAGCTCGAAAGTTTGCCGAATAAATCCCATCTAAAATGTACAAAATATGATGCGTCTGTACTTGTGATATATCATTCCATTCATATTTTTTTGGATTTGCATATACAGGGTGACTCAAAAAAATTAATGAATGCGTCAATATATTTTATTGATTTAATCAGGAATTACAGAACCGAATGCTGTGAAATCTTGGAGATATTTTAAAGTTATCATAAGCATGGTAAATTTTTTATCAAAATTTATTTGCTCATCCCTCCCTAAAAAAATTGATGACGTCACCCTAAAATTTGGTGAATAAATCCTATCTAAAATGTTAAAAATATGATGAGTCTGTACTTGTGATTTATCATTCCATTCATATTTTTTCGATTTGCATATATCGGGTGGCTGAAAAAAATTCATGAATGCGTCAATTGATTTTATTGATTTAATCAGGAATTACAGAACCGAATGCTTTGAAATCTTAAAGATGTTTTAAAATTATCATAAGCATGGTAAATTTTTTATCAAAATGTATTTGGTCGTCCCCCCTAAAAAAATTTATGACGTCACCACAAAATTTTGTTGAATAAATTCTACCTAAAATGTACAAAATATGGTGAGTTTCTTCTTGTGATTTATCATTCCATTCAATTTTTTTCGATTTCCATATACAGGGTGACTCAAAAAAATTAATGAATGCGTCAATATATTTTATTGATTTAATCAGGAATTACAGAACCGAATGCTGTGAAATCTTGGAGATATTTTAAAGTTATCATAAGCATGGTAAATTTTTTATCAAAATTTATTTGCTCATCCCTCCCTAAAAAAATTGATGACGTCACCCTAAAATTTGGTGAATAAATCCTATCTAAAATGTTAAAAATATGATGAGTCTGTACTTGTGATTTATCATTCCATTCATATTTTTTCGATTTGCATATATCGGGTGGCTGAAAAAAATTCATGAATGCGTCAATTGATTTTATTGATTTAATCAGGAATTACAGAACCGAATGCTTTGAAATCTTAAAGATGTTTTAAAATTATCATAAGCATGGTAAATTTTTTATCAAAATGTATTTGGTCGTCCCCCCTAAAAAAATTTATGACGTCACCACAAAATTTCGCTGAATAAAAATGTACAAAATATGATGAGTCTCTTCTTGTGACTTATGATTCCATTCATATTTTGTAGATTTGCATATACAGGGTGACCCAAAAAAATTAATGAATGCGTAAATATATTTTATTGATTTAATCAGGAACTACAGAACCGAATGTTTCGAAATCTTGCAAATGTTTTAAGGTTATAAATGGCATAATAAATTGTTAGTCAAAATATATGTGGTTATCTTCTTCAAAAAACTGATGACGTCAGCTCAAAAGTTTGCCGAATAAATCCTATCTAGAATATACAAAATATGATGAGTCTGTACTTGTAATTTATCATTCCATTCACATTTTTTGAATTTGCATATACCGAGTGACTCAAAAAAATAATGAATGCGTAAATTTATTTTATTGGTTTACTCAGGAACTACAAAACCGACTGCTTTGAAATCCACTCCGAGAAAAAAACATAGTAGACATGCAGTCGTCACGTTTCCGACAGCGAGGGAAGTACTGTCTAAACTCTTTAGACCAATTTTTTAGATTTGGTTTTACAGTGACTTAAAAAAATGTATGGTACAGTCAATTTATTTTATTGAATAACTCAAGAGTTGCAGAAATGAATACCTTTGAGATCTTGCAGACGTTTTAAAGTTATTGTAAGTATGGTAAATTGTTAATCATTAAAAATTGATGGGACGGCTCACTCGAATTTCGCAGATAATTTTGGAGATACAATACAGTTATTTTTAGTATTAGTTACACTGCACCAGTCCAAGGTGATATACGTGTTGATTGTAAATGTTGATTTGGTCATCACAAAATTGTGTGAAGGAAAGACTCAACAAGAAAATGCTGAATATGTTACATTATACTTTTGGTCCGAATGAAGTTCTATCGAAAAAACGTTCGATCAGTTGTTTGACAATGGTTGGTATAAATAAAACTGAGTAGATGCTCATACTCGAAATACGAAGCATCTACTCGAATATCAAATCCAAATGTTTCTAGTTTTTCTAGATGATGCTAATACTTCAATAGGTACCAGTTGATGCCCAAGTAGCATCTCGATACAACAAAAACGGAAAACAGTGACAGTGTTCAACCATCAAGGCAAAAATCGAGTCACCAAAATACAAGTTAGTATTAGGTAGACACCTTGAGATGGGAATCTCTATGGCCAATGAAAGAAAAAACGCACTGCACAATTTATGCATAAATAAAAGTTAATTACCTGAAAAGTTTTGGATATTCCCACTCCAAACTGAATGCATTT